ATATATATATATATATAACCAGTAAATGCATCCACTAATTGCAAAATAGCATTATAGACTTTTCAGTGATAATGACCTCTATTAATCTGTTTAAATGACCAAATCCAGGCCAGAAGTTATATGTTATGTCATACCATCCATCTCCAAATGAACAGTCATTTGCAGAAATATATCAAACTCCAACTTAAAAAATGAAATACTTTATTACAGGAGGGCAAAAAAAAAAAATCACATTTTTAAAGCATGAACTCAAACATGCATGTGTGTACAGTAGTTTGCTATGAAGTATAGTACACTGTAAGTCAATGTCATAGCCCTAGTAGCCTCTTGCAGTATGCTCATAGAAAAGATTCACAGACCTAACAGCGCCTTATGTTACACATACAGAAATCACTATCAATGCTCCACTCGTGGAGAAAAAACAAACTATACACACACTCCAAAAACATCCAGTCAAGTCATAAATAATAGCAACACAAACGTACTACAAGCACTCAACCGTGCATTTTTATTCTGATGTGGTTTTGATTATCACTTTCTATATTTTCTAGAGCGACTGAGTGTCATAACAAATAGCATTGGAGTTAGTTGCTGTACACTCTGTTCATTTTAATTGGGCAGGAACAGCCAAATTATACCTAAATATCACTAACCTGTGACAATTTAATTCAATGAAGAAATTACTTTGAATTGTTTGTGACCAAGTCACTTCCCAAAATATACAAAAGCATGCTCCAACTTGAGCTCAGTGTCAGAGGGCTGAAGGCACTTTAGGCAGAACTTCAAACAGCAAGTCAATTACAAAAAGCCATTCAGTCAGTAGTGCCAAAGCTTGTTTAAGACATACACTTCTTACATCCTAATAATGTCTCCAATTACAACTCAGAGATTATAAAATGTTAACATGTCCCCAACAGGGAAAGAGACATAATCAACTCTTAAGACTAGTGTTTGATTTCTCCTGACCAGAACAGCTAGACTGGGTTAGATTTCAGTCAGTAAAGTCCACTTCTTTGGCCCATTCATTTATTTTTATTCACCACGTAGTTACTGGACACAAGTGCGTCTCCCATTGAGAAAGTCTCTGTTGTTAGGCCATTAATTGAGATTGTTGCAATCCTCTATAGCAGCTTCTGATTGAGGATTTCCCAAATCATTAACTTCCTGAAGAGCGGCATATGGCACTGTAGAGAAAGAGGCAAATGTTACTTTTAATTTTTATGTAAAGAAAATGTTGTAAACATTTTTATTAAAACAAAGAAGCATTACTAGATCAGGTGAATATGAAGTATATACCTGTTTAAAGGTGAGAGGCCTTCCTTTTGCGATATAGTCAGCGTATTTACAGGCAAAAACACCACAGTCACTGCCATTTTTCTGCTGGGGAATCTCCTATAGAGGCATGAACAGAGTGCAAAACATTCATTACACCGTAAAAATAAAAAGTCAATTTAGTTATACGTCATTCATCTTAATTTGACTTACAGTGGCCCTCAAACTTCCAACAGTCCATTTGGCGCTGTCAAGATCTCTGCCTTTCTTTGCTTTGTGCTCCTCTTTAAGGTAGAGTCTGGAAAACAAGCACCATGAAGCCATTAACTATGCAAGAATACTAGATTTCTAGAATCAATAGCTTGAGTTTAAGAGCACAACGAGGACTCACAGTAAAAGACTGCAGATGTCATCGTGTCTCTGGCCCATCGAGTCATATGACTTCACTGTCTTTGACTTAAAATCAATCACCTGGAATGAGAGTGATGAGTGTGCAAGGGAGGGAAAACTGTTAAAATGTGAGTAATGAGTAATGAGTATAATGGATTTTTTTTTTAAAGTAATTAATGAATAAACTAGACTAAAAAGGAGGAATATAACATGGCAACAAATAATAAATCTACAGTCACTGTGGGTCTGACTCACAGCCATTGCCCAGTGGACGCCCAGGTGCAGAGGAACCAGGATGAGGTCGTAGAGGAAAAGGTCGACAGCCTTGGTCCAGCGCTTCACCGCAGTGTGTCCTCCCACCTGCCCGCCTCCACCACCCCGCAGCTTTGGAAAGAAGAAGGTGCTGAAGGAGTAGACTTTTAATGCTGCTGCTTCACCAGAACACCGCTCCATGACCAGGGAAAGGTAGAAGTTTATCACCTTTGTTGGAGGAAACAGAGGAGAAAATTTAATTAATAAAAAATAAAAAAAATAAACATCTCACATAAACACACCCCAAATGTTCTGTTATGTTCTGACAAAATAATATACAAGTTCTTCTCTTTCTTCTCTCAACAAACTTTGTTTCCATGGTGACTAGGTAAAGTAGTTGCTACTACCACCAAACTGAATTTGTCTGGTATGTGAAGCACTGAAACTGAATTAATTACACTGTTAATGAAGAGGTAGGTAGTATTATTTTATTTTACCACTATCATTGCAAGCAATGGAGGGTTCAGCATCACAAATATGATTAAACACTTGCATGAAGAAGAACTTTTGTGTGAACTTCCACCACTGAAGGTTTTAAATAATAATAATTTACAGGCAACAATTAACAAAACTAACAGTATGTTGCCAGTGACACCTGTCTAAATGTGTACAGTCACCATTATCCATTCTTCCTAAAACACTGTTAATCTTTTAAAGCCATCTATTTGTTGTGTAGTGTCTCAAAAGCCAATTGTATTACATAGAAATGAATGACTAAAATAAAAAGATCAAACATACTCACAATTAACTTAACAAACTGTCGTCACACTCTGAGTACATACCTCATCGTTCAGCCAGCCGCCTTCCTGCAGTGTGGACAGGTCTCTCTGCGTAATGCGCAGTTTGAAAGCCGCACTCAGAACAAGGTTGGGATCACTCTGAGCCAGAGCGTAACTCACCTCCGCTGCCATTTCCTACACACAAAGACAATAAATATATATCAAATAAAATAAACTGCATCCATGTTTTCTTCAACACGGTGACTACACGTCTGTCCTGACCATCTCACCTTGGTCAGCCGAGGTATGTCCTCATCGCTGTGTCTTGCGTGTGCAGAATGTGTGTCGGGGAAACTGACAGCAGGAGTATCTCTGTCCACAAGATTGAGGCGAGTAGCTACTTCTGTAGAAAGGTCCAACTCCGCTGCCTGTTTCTGCTGCAACGCAGGTTGACATTACAGAAATAATACATTTGCATTTCCACCCATAATTATAAAACGTAATGAGTGCTTTGACATGTCATGAGAGAGCAAGAGAAATGACTACCTTTGCACATCTAGCAGGCTGTGTGTCCGTAAAGGCTCCACTGAATGTCTTACTAAAGGTTAAGCTACTCCGCCTGGAGATAAATCAAACAGAGGTTAGTAAAATAATCAGAATTCATCACTATATAAATACGTTACACACAGACAGATTTACTACACCAACCTGTCCTTGGTTGCAGATGCATTTCTCCATGTAAACACACTTGGGGCAGCTGTGCAAAGCAGATAAGTGTCAGTCGAGCAGAACATATTTCAATGTAGTTTGAATCAACTGACTGTGTTATGTGAAAAGGTACCTGCTTACTTAATACATTGTTTAAATCTATTAAAAGCAATGCCCCAAACAAGTAGGAAGCAATTACGACCTGCAACTAAAATATGGTATATATACACATGGGCATCTTACCTGTGTATCCCGTCTTCCTGGGCAATGATTCAAAGGCTTTTCCTGAAGCCACAGTTTTGGGATCAGTCTGTGACAGCGATTCACTGAGAGCAAAAGAATTAAGGATCAGTTGTTAAATGGATTTGTTAAATGGATCTTGATGTCATTTCTAAAAACAAAAGCCACATGACTGGTTATACTCACTCTTGCGGTTTTGTTTGGTTGAAAGGAAGTGGTTGGCTTTTGCTGTATTTCTCTGTCACCATCTCCAGCAAGCGCCGGTAGTGCTCCTTATTATTCTGTTTTATGGCCTAAAGGGAGAACCCAAATACATGATAACTGAGCCAAGTGGTAGAGTCTTGAAGCATGACTCCTCTGAATGCAGAAAGTGGTAAATGGGGGTAACTGGTTGAAGGTTGAAATGTAATTAGACAGAAATCATGTGGGTAAACTTTACTCCTTTTACTTGTACTCAAAACGGGTGAATCTATGAGAGATTTAACTAGAGTTAGTCTAATACATTGGCCAATTTTGGCTTGTTGCTGATATAGGAACTAGGACTGAGGTCATTCAGAAACAGTGTCACCAGTACAATCATTGTAAGACTTTTTTTAAACTCCTACATACTGATACCAGTGTCATTCTAAAACAAGCCTATATTTTACAATAAATAAATTAAATGCACCCTATTGTGGCAATAAGGAATTAAAATTCAAAGAAACGCACAAGGTAAGATTATAAATTATCTTTTATCTTTAAGCCAAACACTTGATTATTTTACCTCTTCCACAGCAAGACTGGGTTTGTAGCAGCGGTTGTATCCAAAGCCATTGCAGGTTGGATCAGGATTTGCAGTTCCCACCCTCAGAGAAGGTCTGGAGGGCAGCAGCTGGAGGGAGCCTCTCCTCTCCCTCTCCTTCCCCCTGTCGGCGAGCCCTGCAGACAGCCCTGCCCCACTGCATTCAGAAAGGTTATGTACATTAGCAAGGAAGCATTGTCAAAAGGAGATACTGATGGTATGCAGCCCTACAGGTTGTCTACAGCAGATTGGGTGAGTGAAGGGAACTGGACTGTGACAGTGGACCACTTGCCTGTATTTCCTCATTAAAGGAGGTGAGGAGCTCTGAAAGGGATTCTTCCCACCCCTCTCATTCACTCCGCCCACTGGTTTACCTGTGGAGAAAGAATAAAATGAACCAAATGATGATGGGGCTATGGATGAAAGGACTCTATAGTAAAGACTGTGGATGAGATGTGCCATAAACACAGTCAACAGATCACTGACAGTAACAGCTGTTGTTACTTACTCATTTTCCAGTCAGTACTGTTCAACCATGAGGTGTGGAGCTCATCTATCCCCATCAGAGTAACAGGCTGGGTCAACAAAGAAAACGCAATTTAATTAAAAATGAATACAAATCAAATTTAACACCAGAGCATCAAACAGTCAAAGTTGTGCTTACTTCCTGAGCTACTTAATAATAACAGTTTTAAGAGCCCAATGTAGTCTAACTGTCACACTGACTCACATATAATATCGAGTCCAGATACACACATAGTTTGTGTTGACCCACTTGACGTGATTTGCAGTTTTTGTCTCACAATGCCATTTAAATACTCACTTGTAATCATTTTTCATTCACATTTGATATTAGATTGAGGAATCTAAGTATAGCCTTCAAAACCTTGTCTGGATTTTTTTGTGTAGGCAAATCAACTGTATTTACATGTGTTTGTATGTTTATTTTAGTATATGCAAACTCCAAGGTGAGGAGGTGGATCTTTCAACAAGTCAGACAGTTAAGTTCATGCTACGCTACATACAAATTATAGAAACATTCCCAAATGTCTCCTTGGTGGATTTGGAATGCAACACATCTCTATTTTGAACGGTTCACTTGTGGTCAGACTACCCACGAAGCATTTAAGCACAGAGTCTGAACATGACCGTCGATCCACACAGATACACAGCAGCTAAAATGTTCAGTACACTTCTTCTCCTGTACCAAATTTCAAATGCATGTCCGATTGTAGGAGGTGGAGCACAAACCTGTGTCTCCTCATAATGTCTGGGCTTGTCACACCTGGTCGTCAGCGGGTTCCGCAGCCTGAGCAGACCTGCTACCCCGGCCACAGTCTTCTTCACAAAGCTAATAACTACATCTGACACACAGGACACAACATGTCAACAACCATCTTCATTTCTGTTGGAATTAATATCAAGACTTTTGTTGTTGTTGTTTTAAAACAAACCTCGTCTGCGTCTTTTCACCTCTACCTGGTCACTCTGGCAAACGCCGTCTGCAACATCAACACTGCAACAGGAAAAATAAGGTTTGAGATGGATGATAGCAACAATATTAATATCACAATATCTCTCAATAACACTATCATATCATCATATATTATGATTATTAAGTTCCCAGTTCTGCCCAAAATGTATTAAATTCTAATACAACAGTTCAGCAGTACAATCATAAAGGTTATAATGTTCACTTTTCAGTTGAAACTGTTTTTTACAGAGGTGTTGTTTCAACTTTATGGTCACTTATACAGAGGTGTTTCGACTATATAATGGAGTAGACAAAACATTTAGGCAACTAACAACTCTTATTATTGATTTATCTTACAAGCCTGTCGAGTTAAAATGTCTGTAAAACGTAAGCAAACTGTGAAAAATACCAATCATAGTTCAGTCCAAGGGGATGCCTTGTTTAGTCTGACTAGTCCAAAAACCCACAGATATTCAGTTTCAAACATATGAAACTGAAACAAGAAGCAAATCCTCACACTGAAGAGGCTGACAACTGAGTATACTGGTGATTTTAATAATTCCTCCAATATCATAATAGTTGCCAAACCATTTCAGCTCTACAAAATATCTCAAATACAGTTAAACCTCACTAAAATAAACATATTTTAACCACCTCTATCAATACAATTCACTTGTACTATGAACTACGGCCTCCAAAAGGACCATAAAGTTAAACTGAGACTTGAACACTGGACTTTATAATCTAAAGTAGGATTTATTGCAGGACTGTGCATGATAACACGTCATTTGAGTTTGTCCATACATTTCTTCTTGGTAACTGTGGCTTCAAAAATCCTACACACAAACTCATACAGCGTTAAAATGCGTCTTTGAATTTACGTTTTAGGATATTGCTGAGGAGAGTTTATCAATGAGCTGAGATGCAGCCTGTATTAAAAGAAAGGAAATGTTTAAGCTAGCAGAATATCTCTCTACTGTCAGATAGAAAGCAGAGACAGATCCTAAACAAGTACAGACTCCGTCACCACAGACTGGACATTAAAAAGGGAAGACACTAAAAATCATGGCAACCAAAACAATATGTGATCCCTGTTTGAGGCAGAGATGCACTTCCTCCTGCAGAGCAAAACTATCATTATAAGTAACATTTATTTGAACGATTTAAACTCTAAATGCAGATTTCAAAGATCTTAAATGACCACTCAAAATAATCATAAAGAGAAGGAGACAGGGCTGCCCAGTATGTATTAACATACCACAACAAACCACAACAAAGGTACAGTGACTGACCTAGACACACCTACATTTACATACTCTTCATTTTTTTCTACTTTATATAAAATTCTTGTTATTATTTCCTTACTAATCTGTACATACATATATTCTGACACTTGCTAGTCAATGTCAGCAATAAAGCTTTCTTTTGAATTGAACTGAGAGAAAACACCAGCACCACCAGA